TTTAAATATAGTAGCCTGTTTTAAGTATTTCTGAACAATGGCATTAAATTTCTAACCACAGTTTCAATTATTTTACATTGATAATTTCTACCGATTCATTGTTCAGTGCTTTCTCATATGCAGTATGTTCTTTCTCAATTTTTTTGATTTTTTTTCTTTGTATCAGAGTTCCTAAGTGTTTCCACCCCTACCCTGTCAACCCCCAAGTGTACTTGGATATCTGCATATGCCATTTTTCACTTTGATACAGGTAATTTTGTGCTCTTTTTCCTTACACATCTGAAGACGATTTGCTTCAAGATGACTTGCAAATAAAGTTGCTTTATTTTTCTTTGATGTTGAAAATGAGAAATCTTACCACAGTCTGATTCTTCTTCTCTGTAGGGAACCTGCTTTTAGTTAGCTAGTTTGTTTTCTGTCTGAAAATTCATAATCTTTTAATCCTTACACATTTGAATTTGGGCAGGTTCATTAGCATATCTGAGTGTATATGAAAATGTGGATTTTTCATAGTATTTCTGCCTAGCATTTAGTGAGTCTTTTCCATCTGAAGACTTGAGTCTGCAGCTAAGTGATCTTTTGTACCTTTTTTTTTTCTGGTTCTTGCTTCCATTCAACCTACTCTGCCCTCATTCTGGAATTCCAGTGATTTGGAGATTGGGTAGTCCTGGGCCAGCTTTCAGTGCAGTGTGTATTTTCTCACAGTTTCGATCTCCTTTTCATTTTTACCTTTGTCTTAGAAGAATTTCTGGACTTTGACTTCTAATATACTAATCTGCCTTTTAGCCATGTCCATTTTGTTTGTTTATTTAAAAAAATGTTTTTTTTTTAATTTTTTTTTTTTAACATTTATTTTTGAGACAGAGAGCATGAACAGGGGAGGACGAGAGAGAGGGAGTCATGTGAATCCGAGGTTCACAGGCCTGAGCTGTCAATACTATCGGGGCCTCAAACCCACAGACCCATGGTGATCATGGACCTTCGGAATGACGCTGATGATGCCACCCAGGCTGCCTGCTTTTTTTTTTTTTTTTTTTTTAATGTTACTTTGAGACAGCAAGTGGAGGAGGGACATAGAGGGGAGAAAGAGAATCCCAGCAGGCCCACATGCTATCAGTGAGCATAGCTTGATCTCTCACGATATGTGTCCATTTCAGTCTATTTTCTCCCTTTCTCAAGTTGAAATATTTTCTTTTTTTTTTTTAATTTTTTTTTTAATGCACTTACTTTTTGAGACAAGACGAGCATGAATGGGAGGGCAGTAGGGAGACACTGTGAAGAGGCTCCAGCTCTGAGTTACAGCCAGAGCGCTGCGGGCTTTGAACCCAGTGACCCGTAGAGAGGACCGTTCCAAGTCGATGCTTAACCTCATCGAGTCCACCCAGGCGCCTCAATATTTTCTATTTCTAATAGTTCTTTTGTTTTTTTATTTGTTAAAATTTAAATCCAAATTAGCATATAGTGAAACAATGATTTCAGGAGTAGGATTTCTAATGCCTCACCTACCCTACTCATCCCCCTCTCCCAGTCTCCCCTCTCCTGTAACCTCCTCAGTTTGTTCTCTCATATTTATAGTTCTTCTGTTTTGCCCTCCTGTTTTTGTATATTATTTTTTTTCCCTTCATGTAGCATTCATCTGTTTTGTTCTCTGAAAAGTTTCATATAATTTTGAAACTCATGTGATTTTTTTCTTCAATCTCACTTGTGTAATACCTCCATCCAGTCCATGCTGCAAATGCGTCAGATTCTCATTCTTTTTTAAATTGATCTTTTTTGATACGTTCTGTATATATACATCTTATCCATATCCAGTCTCATCGCATGGCATTTGAGGTTTTAGATACTTGGGCTGCTTGCTTGTATAAGCTGCTATATAAGAGCTTATGGGGGGTCATTTGTCCTCTAAACAGCACTGTATCCCCTTGGACAAAATGCCTGATGCAGTACCAATGCGGGCCTGTAGGGTGTTCGCTTAGTTTTTTGAGGAACCCCAATTGTTTTCCAGAGTGTGACTGGCCCAGGCTATCTCCCACCCAGCAGTGCAAAAGAGATCCTCTTTCTTGCTATCCTCACCCCGTGCTAGCTCTGAGTTGTTAATAGTCAAGTACTTAAGGTGTGAGGTGGCACCCTCATTGTGGTTTTGATTTGCTATTTCCCTCGAGATGATGATGTTGAGCATTTTTCATGTGTTGGTTGGTATCTTTGATGTCTTCTGCAGAAGTGTTCATTTATGTCTTTTGTCCATTTCTTCACTCCGATTATTTGTTGGTAGTTGAGTTTGAGAACGCTCTTTTGATTTTGATTAACCCTTTATCTGATGTCATTGCAAACATCTTCTCCTCATTCGTCAGAGTTCTTTGAAGTTTTGCTGGAGTTGAACTTCCTTGCACAGAAGCTTATTTTGATGAGGTCCCAGTAGTTCATTTTTGCTTTTGCTTCCCTGTTCCTGGAAAATGTAAGCTGAGTAAAAGAAGTTGCTGCAGCCAGGTCAAAGAGGTTTTTGGCCTGCTTTTCTCCCTCACAATGATTTGATGGCTTCCTGTCTTACATTTAGGTCTTTCATCCATTTTGAGTTTTTATGTATGGTGTAAGAAATTGGTCCAGGTTCATTCTTCTGCATGTTGCTGTACAGTTTTCCCAGCTCTAATGGTTCTTATTGCCTGTTTGCTCCCCCTTTTATACTGAACCCTGGTTGGGTTTTATCAATGCAGTATTATTTTTAATATTACTGGGAATATCCATTATAAGTTGATATTAACTCCTGTTTCCTACATTGACTATTTTGTTTTTGTTTTTGTTTTTGTTCTTTTAGGGCTGTTTACATAGTTTGCTTAGTTTGGCTCCCCTGCTGACTTCCTCTTAGGATCAGTGAGTTTTGCTCATATTTTTAACGAAGTTCTTGAATAGCAAGTAATGTTGGCAGGTAATGGGCTACCTTAGAAGCCCATTTGTGAGCCTATTTGATTTTCAGCAGGCCTCCCCCTCTTAAACTAAAGCAGATAGCCATGGAACTCCAAAGGTAGGCTTTGTTCTTGGTGTAAGGAGAAGGCAGGAACATGCCAGAAAATGGACATCTCTTAAGCATTCAGTGACTAGGAGCTAACTAGCAGGTAAGCCTCCCCAGGACCCCCTGCCCTTGACCAAGGAGGCAGTGAGGGCCTTGGGTAGCTAAACTCTTTTACCTAGCATTCCACCCACACACAGTAAGTTAAGCTTGGGAACTAAGATAGCATTGGCAAGATTCTTAACCTACTACTATCAGTGATGATGAGGGTATAAGATGGACAGTTGTATTTTTGTGTGTGTGTTTGTTTTGTTTGTTTTGTTTTTTTACATTACTGGTAAAAAAAAAAAAGTGTATACATTCTTCTGGAAAGTAATTTGGCAGGGTGTAAAAAAGGCTTTTAAAATGTCTAATCCTAAACTTTAGTTCTCATATTTCTAGAAGTGTATCTTTTTTTAAGTTTCTTTTTGAGAGAGAGAGAAAGAGCGAGAATGCACCCACATGTAGGAGAGGGGCATAGAGAGAGGGAGAGGAAAAGGGGAGAGAGATTCCCAGACAGAGCCCAACTCGGGGTTTGATTTCATAAACCGTGGGATCACGACCTGAGCCGGAATCAAGAGACGCTTAACTTAGCCACCCAGACACCCTCTAGAAGTGTATCTTAAAGAAATGGGGAAGTGGACATAGATTAATATTCAGAGATCTTAGCTGCTGTGTTACTTACAATAAAGGAGCATAGGAAAGAATCTACAGGTTTTACAGAAAAGGCATGGTAAGGCAGGTGAGTTATGTAGCTGTATGATGGGATATTTTGCAGACTTTAAAATGCCTAATGACATGGAGAAGTGCTCATGATGTAATATTGAATGAAAAAATGAGTATAATATATGATAAAAAGGCCAGAAGCAACACAACAAATTATCATCAATGGTGGGATACTAGGTGACTTGTGTTTTCTTTTTAAAACTTGTCTGTGTTTTTCAAAATTTTTACACTGAGTCTGTATGATTTATGATCAGAAAAAAAAAA